TGTATATAGAGCCAAAATATTTTTGTTAGTGTTGGATAGAGCAGGGAAGGGTTAGAACCTCTGCTATCTGAAGCCCTCAGACATTTAACTTCACTGCCCTGCATATTAGGTATTACCAGACCGAAAATAAGGGGAATTACCCAACAACAGAACAGAGAGGAATTTAAAAAAAAGGCTTTTCCTTAATAATACATTTTACGGGAGTCCTGGATAGCAGTAGAAACTCAACGGCGGTTCTATCTAGGGATGCATCGATACCAGTTCAGATACCAGTGCCGATATTTGGCATTTTCATGAGAACTCCCATGGTGGCAGTGGTTGCAGCTGGGACCGGGCTCTGGCGCTCCACCACTGTCCTGAAATCATTAGTCTGTATTATTTTAGAAAAACTGTCACATGACAATAAACAAAAATGTATCAGTACTTGTATCTGTGAGGACTTGGGCCAGTATCAGTACTTGTCCTTGCAAAAATGGTATCGGTGCATCACTTTATTTATATTTAGAAAAACAAAATCATACAATAAAACAGAGATGTACAAATCCCGGGAGCTCCGTGTGCTCCTTACACATGACAGCTGCCTCCTAACTGTTGAATTTTCCTCTAGTGTAGTCTTGGAGCTGGAAAAGTATCTGTACTTGCACCGAGTACGGTACTTGGTATCGGTGCATCCCTAGTTCTAACCCTTCATCAGTCTATGCAAATCTTATAAATATCTTGGCTTGACATACACAAAGTAGCAAATAGATTTCTTGCAAGTCTGTGCAAAATTGCTACCGATAGCTTTCCATCCTGCCACAAATACTGCAGCCGCATTGTTAAGTAACTGACAACCAGACGCAAGCAAAGAGTTACGTTGTCATTGTCTTTGTTAAATCCCTCCAGTTCCTCAATCCTGTGATACCCCCCTTTGGGATTTACTCTTGAATTGTTATACTGGATCCTTTATCCAGATAGAAAGCGGCATGGAGGGGCTCGGTGAAGGTGGCTGTGAAGGTGTGGAGGTGCCTGATGGGGTGACACAGCTGGTAGAAAGACAGACGGCCCACCTTATACTCCAGGAAGATCCCAAACGACCGCACAGGGGAATCTGTGGGAATTTCCCTTTGAACGCAGTTGTGGTAGGCGGCAAGAACATCGTCAACGCCGAGACTCCATGATCTGTTGTTGAACCCGATGAGTGATTTAGACGAAATCGTCTTTCTGTCCATACTATGGCAGGCAACCCCAATGAAACATCTTTTCTTGCCAACAACGTCCACCTCCCAGTAGTGATTCCCACCCGAAAAGCTGCACTTGCTTAAAACGTGGCGGGATTTGAACCTCTCCTCGTTACTTTCCTCCTTCTGACGTTTCGAGCTATAAAAGGCTCTTCTGAGACCGTAAGTCTTGATGATGCTATAATGAGCCGTTTTCTTATCCAGCGTTATCATGGACTTCTTCATCTTCGGAAAGTCTTCTTTCAGCATGCGATCGATCAGGCCATCGGCAAACTGAAGGAGTCTCTTGTGCAGCTTCTGCGAGATGGACGTTTCGTCGATCTTAATGCAACTCTTCGTCTTCCATCGGCCAGAGAAGTTCCACGCCATGTTGCTTTCTTTTTCGTCCTTTAGGAACGTTAAGGGGTCTTCAACCTCGCACAGCTCGGTGATGCGTTTCATCCTCCTGGACAGCTCGCTCTTGTTCGTCTCCAGCTTCTTAATCTGATTAGACACCGAGAGGGAAACCATCTTCTTCTGTTTGGAGATGACGCCCAGGACTTTAGTGTGCCGAGCGCTGAGTTCTGTTTTTAGGTCCTCAATCTGAGCCATGACCTTCTTTATGACAGCATCTGCTTTCTGGTTCTCGTCCCTTTCGTAAGCAATCAGTCTACAAATTTGTTTCTCGGATTCATTGAGGTCGCCTTCGAACCTTTCTATCATGGGTCTCAGGTTGCTTTTCTTCTGCTCTACAAACTCATGCAAAGCTGTCACTTGGTGTCCCTGGTGGTCTCCAACCGCCCAGCAGGACATACAGATGCAGGAACCTTCTTCTCTGCAGTAATATTTCAGGATCTCTTTGTGCGTGGAGCATTTTCTTTCGTCCAGGGACAGAGAAGGTTCTACCAGAAGGAGTCCCGGCAAACTGGGATGCTTCATCAGGTGCGTAGCACAAAATAAGGAATCGCATTGCACACAAGTCTTAATGGCGGGGACGTCACAGTAGGTGCAGCTGATCTGTTCGGTGCAGGGACTCGGCTCTGTGACCTCCTGCTTGATCAAAGGACGAACCTGACAGGGTTTGTAACACTCCATACAGTAATAAATGGTCCAATGATCCTGTACGTTCAGCACCTGCTCCATGCAGCGCCTGCAGTAAATGTGTTCACACGGCAGCAACACGCGATCCGTGCAAAAGTCGTGGCACATGGAGCAAAGCTTCTCCTGTATCTCGGATATGATATCCATTCCGGAGAGCTGAAAGTAAACAGCTTCCCAATACAGCTCTGTACACAACAGGATGTGAGATTGGTGATAAGACCAGAGGCAAAGCAAGCGAGATGACGGCCCCCTCTCTTTTAACACTTTATCTGCCACCAGCAGTGGAAGCAGAAGAGTCCTCCAAAGGCTCCAAGTGTTCCAGGAAAGAAAAGCTACATAGGAGATGGCAAAGAGTCCAGCCTACAGTAGAGAAGCATTAGATAGAGGAAGGAGCAGAGTCCACCAGCAGAGCAGAGTATATCAGGAGAGGAGAGTTATGGAGGAAGGAGCAGAGTCCTCCAGCAGTGCAGATTATTTCAGGAGAGGAGAGATATAGAGGAAGGAGCAGAGTCCTCCAGCAGTGCAGATTATTTCAGGAGAGGAGAGTTATAGAGGAAGGAGCAGAGTCCTCCAGCAGAGCAGAGTATTTCAGGAGAGGAGAGTTATGGAGGAAGGAGCAGAGTCCACCAGCAGAGCAGAGTATTTCAGGAGAGGAGAGTTATGGAGGAAGGAGCAGAGTCCTCCAACAGAGCAGAGTATTTCAGGAGAGGAGAGTTATGGAGGAAGGAGCAGATTCCCCTAGCAGAGCAGAGTATTTCAGGAGAGGAGAGTTATGGAGGAAGGAGCAGAGTCCACCAGCAGAGCAGAGTATTTCAGGAGAGGAGAGTTCTAGAGGAAGGAGCAGAGTCCTCCAACAGAGCAGAGTATTTCAGGAGAGGAGAGTTCTAGAGGAAGGAGCAGAGTCCTCCAACAGAGCAGAGTATTTCAGGAGAGGAGAGTTCTAGAGGAAGGAGCAGAGTCCTCCAACAGAGCAGAGTATTTCAGGAGAGGAGAGTTCTAGAGGAAGGAGCAGAGTCCTCCAACAGAGCAGAGTATTTCAGGAGAGGAGAGTTCTAGAGGAAGGAGCAGAGTCCTCCAACAGAGCAGAGTATTTCAGGAGAGGAGAGTTCTAGAGGAAGGAGCAGAGTCCTCCAACAGAGCAGAGTATTTCAGGAGAGGAGAGTTCTAGAGGAAGGAGCAGAGTCCTCCAGCAGACCAGAGTATTTCAGGAGAGGAGAGATAGACTTGGGCCATCATTTATGGTTATCTCCTAACTGTTGAGCTGTAAAAGTTTTAAGCGTCGCCTATTGATGACATTGAGTACCGTCGTTCTTCGCTGCTTTACGCACACTTTGGAGGCTCGTCATATTTGGTATTTATTTACTTATCACATTATCTCATTTTGCATATTTTGTAAAAAAAATGGGGGCATTTGATAATCGATGCTGAATCACAAGGTCGCTCGCCATGTTATTGCTATGTCAGCCACAAGTTTAAGAGTTATGAAGAGAAATTTCCAGAAGCATCAACAAGATGGAAACTCTACGACGTTACAACGAAAAGGAACATTGCCAAAGACTTCTACACCCGCCCTGCCGGCCTTATCTCGGAGGACATAGCTGAACAACTTGTGTCAGTGGTGTTTGAGCTTGCTTTGCAAGATGCGTACAACAGAGGATCATTGAAGGGGGGGCATCCTTTGACTTGTATGCTGACCCCACACACACACACACACACACACACACACACACACACACACACACACACACACACACACACGTGTTGAATAAAGGCTTCTCTGTCTTATCTAGAGCTGCTGCTTTGGTTTCTTGCTGATCCTGAAACATGATCATATTGTGTAATTCATTAAAGTGACACTAAACTCAGGAGTTAAATTTTAAAAATACATTCAAGTCTCTTAACTATTAACAACAGTGAGGGGAGTTTATCAAAACTGGAGCAAACGGACTCTGGAGCAGTTGCCCATAGCAACCAATCAGCATCTCTTTTCAGTTTGCTCAGGTAAGATTTGAAAATGAAAGATAGAAGCTGATTGGTTGCCGTGCAAATCTGCTCCAGATTTTGTCTGCTCCAGTTTTGATCAATTCCCTCCAATGTGTCTTATTTGTGTATCACTCGGCTGTAGATCCTCAAATCATCTCTGAATTGGTGCTGACACTGTCCTTCCTTCTGGAGGGGGGCTACTTGTGTTCCCCATGGTCCCTGTGTATGTTGTAAAGTAGTCACCGTTCCAATCTCGCACCCGTGATGGACTACAATCTCAATACAAATTAGTAAACTAAACATGAGATTGTAGTCCATCCCGGGTGCGAGATTGGAACGGTGACTACTTTACAACACACACAGGGACCATGGGGAGCAAAAGTAGCCACCCTCCAGAAGGGAGGACAGTGTCAGCACCAACTCAAAGATGTTTTGAGGATCGACAGCTGGTGGCACTGGATTGAAGGTACTCATCTTCAATCTAGTGTCACCCCCTGAAGAAAGGTGAAGCCCCCATAGGACATACCCAATCAGCCCAGGACTTGAGGAACCACGGCCATTACACCACAACAGCCTCAACGCTGTAACCTGCGCACCATCGCCTCAAGGACATCAATCAGCTGCCAAAACTGAACACCATCTCTCCGAATGGAACAGATCGACCCTGAACTTACCCACCACAACACCTGCGATTCAAAGAAAGTCACCTCAACCTTCATCGATGACATTGCGTCACCACCAAGTTTACGGTGAGTTACTACATATCACACATGTGACCAAACGCTTCTTGATTACTCACCTTTCCACCGTCTTTATTTCCTACTCTGGTTCACTCCGCTGATAACCGGAAGGCACAACACCACCAACCCCTGGATCCAGCCTCGCCATAACGCCTACCCTCAACACAATTACTCCAAAACCCACTTATCGGGCCCACCCTCCACATGGACCTCCTCGGACCTCCCCCGACAGGTCTCTGCTTGGTTGTGGTGCTTCCTCCCCTAATTTCTGTTCCCCTGAAGAAAGCCTGATCTGCCACTAGATGTTGCCAGTCTTCCGGGCTGAATGATGGTCCTCTGATCCCAAGCTGTCATGGACATGCACCCTGGGGATGCACCGTAACACCAGCCTGGGCTTACAGTGCATTGAACTGAACTCTTAACTATGAACAACAATGTATCTTATTTGTGTATCACTCGGCTGTAGATCCTCCAATCATCTCTGAATTGGTGCTGACACTGTCCTTCCTTCTGGAGGGGGGCTCAGAAAAGGAGTCAGTCCCGCCCAACCTCTCCGATAGTATTTCAGCTTGCTGTTTTTTATCTTTCCGAAGGGTTAGTTTCTGCAAGTGTGGAGTTTGGGGAGGAGGGATACACTCTTTTTAGTTAGGGTTATCAGGTATTCCTTTTCTACTTACAGGTGGTATTTGTGTTTTGGGAAATATGGCTGACTTATTTATCTTCTAGGTTGGTTGTCCATCGGGCGGGTCCATGGCGGTGCCATACGTTGATAACAAAGAACGGGCTCTCTGCAAAGTGAAAAGGGGCGGAATTTGCGGGAAAGAGGAGAGTTAAAAAGAGCAAGAGCATCTTGGGAGTTCTGGTTCCATTTTACAACAGAGGAGAAGAGAATCCACTGCCATCTGCAGCATGTGTCTGGAGGAAAGAGCCCAAATTTCATTTAGGCAGCATCGCTGGAATGGATGGACTTGTTTCTCACTGTATTTGTAAGCTATTCCTATATTTGCATGTTTTATGTACAGATTGTATGTTTCTTTGTTCTTTTTGTCCTAACAACATACATATTCCACTATGTGATCATACCCTACGTGTATGTTATATGATGGAAATGAACATACATATTATTAAATACAGTTTGAGGTCTCAAAACATCTATAAATTAATATACTCTTGTTCGTTAGATATGAAGTTGCAAGTCACTCATCCTCATAGGGTGCCAGCCGCCATCTTAAGTCATTTTAGTAAAAATTGAAATGGAGAAAAATCGCCATTTTTAAGGGTTTTAACTCATTCCATCCAGATGCCCACTATGTAGACTTGAGCAACAGTCTAAGATAATGCTGTAGACAGTAAAATCCATATTTTGATGTGTGAACATTAATAAGTTAGTAAATGGTGTCCCTGGAGTGACTGCCATGCCCGCTGATATCAAAAACAAGATGGCGGCCCTCTGCTATAGACTGCGTTTCTACAGGAGGCTAAAGAGGGACCCCACCATGGTCATTCCTCTGCATGCAAAAGGTGAGTGATACCGCTAAAGAATAGGGACATAAGATTCAAAATTCACAAAGCTTTAACACAAGGATAGGGATCTATTTTTTAACCATGTGACTGTCATTTCCAAATCTCATTGGACTCTGCAGGAAATAACTGTCACTTTTCCTAAAAAGTCGGATCATTAGCCTGACATGCTTGCTTTGTGAATTGAGCTGAAGGTCTCTTAAAAAAAACCTAATTCCAGGCAAATGTTAATCATGTCCGACGAGTTACCCTTTTGGGGCAAAAAACAACAACTTCTTTCTATGGTAGATGAAGCTTTATTGAACACACGTGTGAGAACAATTAGGATAAGAGATTGTTCTGAGGAGCTCATCAGCTTTTGAAGGCATAAAGTTGATATAAACTGGTAAAATATACCCTCCTGAGGCAGGGGTAGGGAACCTTGGTACTCCAGCTGTGGCAAAACTTCAAGTCCCATCATGCAGCTGCCTCAGGGAGTCACGCCTATGGCTGTCAGAACCTTGCAATGCCTTATGGGCACTTGTAGTTCCATATCAGCTGGATGGCTACCACTGCTCCAAGGCCTCATTTAAACAGGAAAGGGGATCCATAGTGGATCGATTTGATGGGGAAATATACCAGATGTATACCAGAAAAGGGGGGACGTGTCCAGATGTATAAATGGGGGACGTGTCCAGATGTACATCATAAAATGGAGGACGTGTCCAGAAAAAGTTTCTTGTTGGTATGAAGACAAAATCCTTGCAAAAGTCTAAATACATTTTCACAAAATCCATATCAATAGAGTGGGGAAGAGTTAAGCCTTCTGTATGGTTTTTATGTCTCTCTGTGTGACCCCATTGGGGTATTCTCCCTCGCTTTCTGCCCCGTGACTCCTGTTAAAATGGCATCCATGAGATGCCCATTTTCATGGGAATGTGGTGACTTTTAGTTAGTTAAGTTTTTTGGTGTTTTCCTAGTGTTTTTATATTTCAGAGCACTGCCCCTTTAAGAGAATCCAACGGTAAATTTTTTGGCGGGAAAAAACGTTATTTTGGCGGGAAAACATTGCCAAGGGGATATATGGCAGTTTGAATTGATGCCCTATATAAGGAGGTGCCGCTAGGATTGAAGCATCCAGTTGGCATCCAGTTTTAGAAGCTT